ACATTTTCCATTAACATATGATTTATTTAAACAATATTCAATATTATTATTACATTTTCCATTTTGATCTTTTATCATATCTTCTTTACATGTTTTATTTATACATTTATTATTATCTAAATATTCTTCATATTTACATTTTATTTCAATATCATTTGTTTGACATATTTCTGATTTTGAACATTCTATACATTTATTATTATTGATGTATTTTCCATTTTCACAATATATTTCTTCATTCTTTCCATTTTGATTCTTTTCTTTATTTGAACATTTTCCATTATTTAATGTATATCTATTTGAACATGATACACATTTATTTCCTTCATAATAACATTGATCTTCTTTATCTCCATTACATTGATTATTTTCTATTTTATATCCATTCGAACATTTTAAACAATAATTTCTTTCTGATTTATTACATTTATTATCAATTTTTTTACATTCTCCATTTTCTTTAATAAATCCTTCTTTACATTGATAACAATATGTTTCATTTCCAATTTTACATCCATTTTTGAATTCTTCACATGTTTTTGTATTTAAATTAAGATAATATCCATATTCACATTCAATACAATGATTTTGTTCATTTATTTTATTACAATGTGAATTATATTGACATTCTTTAGTTGAATTTAAATAATATCCTTTTTCACATTCAATACATTCTCTTGTTTCTTCTTTATAAATCAATATATTACAATTCTTATATCCAATACTATCTAATGTTATTCCTTTCATTCCAATAATCATTATTTGACTTTTCTTTGTTGATGTTGTTTCTAAAAATTCAACTTTAGTTAAATCAGTTAATGGTTTTGAAGAAGAAATAATTACTGTTGAAATTGATTTATCATTATTTTCTACTTCTTTAATTGATGTTGTTCCTTCATTTGATTGTTCAATTGTTAAACTGAATTCAATTTTTTGATATGGTTCTTTCTTTCTACAAATATTGAATGTTATTTGATTTGACGATTCATATTTTAACCATTGATTAGGATATGTATATACTCTATGAGTCTTTGATGGTTTATAGTTATTTCTAATAATATAATTATTTGTTGATAATGATAGATGATAATTATAATTAGATAAAGATATAGTAGTAGTAACAATAAATAAATTGAAATCATCTTCTTCATCTTTTTTAAATTGATGATTACATTCTGTTGTTATATCATGAATTTCAATATCATCAGAATAACTAAAATAACGAACCATTCCACCACATGTTTGATTGAAGTATTTATCATTTGAAAATTTTGTTGTTATTTTATTGATTGATCCTTCATATGATGATATTAAATACCATATACCATTATTAGAACTAAA